GTTTTTTTGATGTTCTAGTTGTCGTCCGCGTCGTTGGATCTTAAACTCCCTAAATTGTACAAACGACCGGTTTCAATAGACCGGCGAAATTTCTCATTTTATTAAAGCACTGAGGTTACGACAACTTCGAGTTAAACTGATTTCACGGGTTGTCAAAGAGTCCAGCGATTCCTTTTTCCCAGGTGAGCGCCGACTCATTTCGCTTCAATATTCAGGAATGCTCTCGATCTTTTTACGCTTTTATTGCCTCTTGCCCGACATGTTTTGCACGGCGTTTGGTCATGCGAAACCTCCATGAAACATCCACGCCTCGCGCGAGGTAACTTTATCCCGATTCTAAAAATAACTCGAGACGAATTACCTATGGAATAGGGTGTATATGGGGGATGGCCTCTCTGTCCCTTTTATAGTCTCTTGTTTCTTTCTTATTCATTTGGAATTGAAACGACGAACACATTGATACACAACTGAAGTTCCTTCATACACGATTCCAGACCAAAATGGGCAAAATCTATACCCGTTTTCGGAAAAACCCTATCCTTTGGGGCGGCACATACCTACATGGCTTATATAAGGGAGTGCCCCCCCCCCCGGGACCGCCAGTAGCGCAGGCTAAATGGAGTACATTTCTCTGTCTAGCTTCAGACATACATGGTATGGATACCAGAGGACAGACACACGACCACCAGTATGTCCCTACCACCCGTTCATCAAAGGAGACCCCAGCAGTCCCCACCCCCAAGAAACTGTCAAACAAGAATGAGCAAAAGCTTTGGCTATGGACAGTTCACCAGCCTCAATCAAACAACTTATCAAGATGAAATTGCCCGGACACCATTCCTGCACAGAAACAGTGAGTAGAAATAGGAATCTATCACCACAGAGAATCAATCGGCTAATAATTCTGGCAACATGTTAAATTTTTAGTCCTAATTTTTTATATTTTTCCACCGAATTTTGTGCGGTCACAAAGTCAACTCTACCCAACAATCCAACATGGCACTTTGTCTTTTAGAAGAGGCTTCTCAAACCCAGTTCTCCCACTTCTTCAGCGTCACATTAGAGGAAGACCTGGGTATGAGAGTAGACACAGAGTACCTCCTTCGCGTTCTTTGCTTCTCAATAGCTTTGCTGCATGATCTTTTACTTCCTTGGTCGACCATAACAGACCGTAACCTGAACCTTGTAAAACGATGCAAAAAATTAAAGACAGAATAAAGAAACCACATTTTGAGGAACCTGGGGACGTTATCCAACAAAACCTTGGGAGGAGAAAGAGAACACAATCTTACCCCCAAGAGATATAGAGTTATACTTCATTAAGAGAAAGCTTATTATTACATGTTCTCCATTTGTTAACACCCGTTTAACAACAAATTTCACCTTTCTATTTCAGTTAAAATGAGGGACCACTTTCCAAGTGGAAATCTAAACAGCAACACTTCCTCTTTTCATCGTGTAAGAGTGCGATAGCCGACAGTTTTGATCGATAGCCTCAGCGTCACCGATAGAAGCTGCTGCAGACATGTTGTTTAAAACGAAAAACACTGCCCCATAGGCTTATTAGATCCAGTTAGTCCTCTTTCAGGTGCTTAGAAAGATATCTACCAAAACTCAACATGGTTTAACATTGTAAAATAAAGATAACCTTAGCCATTAAAAGCAAATTCAGTTCAATTTCCAATCTTGAATCTAAGAATTTTCTTTCCTTACAAGAACGTTTGCGTTTCTTTTAACTACTCTAGCGTTGTTTAAAAATATTATTGGGTCATCTCAGCTCACTTGGTATTGGGGATCAATGAATTTGATTTGGTAGGGCGGTTGCGTTAGTGCGAGTTCGAGATTAGCAACGGAGCCACCATCGCAATTCGGCGATCGCGAGGCCGGTGTTACAGTGATATGGGCGGGCGCCCGGCATTTTGGCCATCCCCATTCCCAAAACTCTAGTGATATGGGAATCCCCTTCTCATATTACCCAAGCGATTTGATTTAGAGTTAGGGTTAGAAACACAAGGGATGCCCATATCACTAGTGTTTTGCCAATGGGGATCCCCATATCGCTGTGACACCGCTCGCACTCGCACAAGTGAGACTGCTCGCAGTCGAGTAAGGCGACGTTTTAGTAAGGGTGAGAGGTAAGGGTATTGGGATGTGCCAATACCTGGGAGGGCTCACAAGTGGAACGCTTGTTATGGCAACCTCAGTGTTGACGTCACGATGATTTTAGACAATGTTCCCAGATAACTTTTAGGCTTAGGCGGTCATAGCTCGAACGGTTTTGAAGTTTTTTGCAACTTTAGAGTGAGGAGGGGGAGGGGGGGCGGGGTAAAGTTCCCGCTGGTCTGCTAATAAGGGTTAATGCATTGGAGCTCATTGGGTTTAATGTTTTAAAGAATGAATCATCCTTTGAACAACTATTTCGAGCTCTTAACTCTTGTGATACGGACACGGAAAAGCCAAACGGTTGAAATGATAAGTTACCATGACGGAGATTGCTACATTGCCAGGTTCCTACCTGAAAGAATTTCTCCCCCACCGAATCAGCTGCACTGTTAACTGAGACACTAAATAATGAAGTATCCATCTCAGTATTTCTTTTAAATTTTATTTTACTAATATAATTGTTTTATTTTTAATGCAAGGCTCTGCTTTCTCTTTATTCTCTTTCTCTAATATTTTTCGGATGACATCGTTAAATAATTTATACTAACGAGAGGAAGCTTTTACGATATAATCTTGACACTGCACACGTTATGAATTATCGACCATTTGATGGTTTAATGAGCCTATGAATTACTTAATGAGTTTTTGAAGAGATAAGAAGGAACTATAGCTCACTAGCCCTCTTCGCAACCGTAAATTCCACACGAACTTATGTCATCAACGATCGCTTTTCCTCAGGCAACAGTATTTTGCCCCACTGAGGTCTCGCGAAAGCAGTTAACTACCTAAACTTGTCTCACAGAATAAATGCGTTGTTTGATAATTAAGAAACAACTTTTTATTGATTTATTTATTTTAGTGGCACTTGTTGGTAAAGATATAGTCCTTAAGGCCAAATCAGCGCTACACCCTCCTCTATGACTCTCTACCTTCTATTCAATTTCTACAACCCTGGTCAAAATTCTTGAGACACTAACGCAATAGCTCATCAAAATGACGCATTTCCCCTCCCCTCCCCCCGCCGGTGCAGTATTGACATTATGCATTTTAATGCATATGCTTTTTCAAGAGGTCGAATACGAGTTAATTTGGCAAAGTGCGTGTCCTAAGATGTTTTGAGCAGGGTTGTAGCCCCACTTGTTGGATAATTGCTGGAGTGTAGCAATTACAAAAACAAAAATCCTTGGCGTTTCTCCTCGACTATTAGACGGTTCGACTTAAGGGCTTGTTCCTGAAGCTTTCTCTTACAAACTGGAGATGAGCCTGTTCTATATAATTGAGAATATTTAATTTATTCTGTTAAAAGTATTTTTTGGTTCATTCCGCAATACGTCTGGACATTCTCCAGTGTTCACATTTATTTACACTCCAACGGTTGTTTTCTGCACGTTCTCGTATGTTGGTAGCTTTGAATTTGTTTCCGCCTTATTTATCACTTCTGTCGGTGTCACGTCAGCATATACCGTGGGCGCGTACGGAGCAGGTTTGCGTACTTTGATGTTGTTTCCGGAGTCTTCAGACTCAGGCATATCGAGCTGAGCGTATAAAACATCTCCTTTTTTTTGCTGTAAAAATAAATAAGAAAAAGAATTATACGAAAAAGAGGAAGAAAGAAAACTGAGAAAATACATTTAGTGGCATGTTTGACTCATTAAGTCACAGAGAGTGAGTCAAAGCCTTGTACGTCTTTACGTCTAAGCCTAGCAGCCTTTATGTCCTGGCTGCAATAGGCAAGCCATTTGCAGGTGGCTCGATAAGGGACCTGCTTTTACCTTTCTCCTCTTGAAGAGAACGATCAGTGACGACGAACTGCAGCTGATATTTGCGCAAATATTTCCATTACTCGCAAGTTTAAGGGAGGGTTTTTATGAAAATACTTATTTAGTAAAACAAGAAATTGGTTCATTATTTCAAGATGAAGCCTTTTTGTTGACGGTTAAGTTAACATAACTTACTTTTCGGTTCTTCTTGTTAACCACAGCGTACTCATGGTCCATTTTAGGAGGTGCTTGTTCAGTCAAATCCACGTGCTCTCTATTGTTTGCCTGTAAAACAGGATTCTTTTGTTAAAGCAAAAGGTAGACTTATATCATACCAGGAGGGCTCCTGATCATACTTGGTATAGTTGTTGACAATATTACTTTTGACCGTATACTGAGCAACAATTTCTCGATTGAAGCTTCCTTGGGATCCAAGCAAGACTANAGGGACCTGCTTTTACCTTTCTCCTCTTGAAGAGAACGATCAGTGACGACGAACTGCAGCTGATATTTGCGCAAATATTTCCATTACTCGCAAGTTTAAGGGAGGGTTTTTATGAAAATACTTATTTAGTAAAACAAGAAATTGGTTCATTATTTCAAGATGAAGCCTTTTTGTTGACGGTTAAGTTAACATAACTTACTTTTCGGTTCTTCTTGTTAACCACAGCGTACTCATGGTCCATTTTAGGAGGTGCTTGTTCAGTCAAATCCACGTGCTCTCTATTGTTTGCCTGTAAAACAGGATTCTTTTGTTAAAGCAAAAGGTAGACTTATATCATACCAGGAGGGCTCCTGATCATACTTGGTATAGTTGTTGACAATATTACTTTTGACCGTATACTGAGCAACAATTTCTCGATTGAAGCTTCCTTGGGATCCAAGCAAGACTAGTATGATATGGATCGAATTAGCAGGGGCACCCAACGACAATTTTTGGAAAATATCTATTCGGAAGACGATTTGAGATCTAGAATTTTCGGAACATTTGCTGTAAAATTTCTTGCTTGCCTGTCTCTCCTAGGATTTTCGAACCCCCCAAAAAATGGTATAATTGCCCATTCTTAACTGATTTTTACCCTAAAAAGGTCACCTAGAATTTTCGGGAGCCTTTTTTCTGGGTGAAATTTTCGAAAAGGTAAGTTTTGATCCCTATAATTTTCGGATCACTAGACTTTCGGCTAGGAAATCCGAACAGATGAAATATTTTAGGGGATAAAGATATGCCTACATCTACCGTTTAAATACTAAAGTACGTTCAACAATGCTATGTTTAAGTGGTTTTGAACTATATTCTCGTTGGGTGCCCAGGATTTGGTTTTAAAACGAACAACAGTAAATAACCACAGCATCCTTTATTTTGATATTTTTTTCTCCTGATAAAAAGTAAACTATACGTCTCCGTACTTCATATATATAATAATTCGTCTTATCTTTCTGTTTGATCAATTACTGCTGACCCACATTACGAAAGACAG